AGGGAATAGAGAGAACAAGCATTGGCAAAGTATACTACGGAGATTTGGCATATATAATAAGTCCAAATAGTAGTACTTTATTGGCATTGGCCTCTGTGGAGGCATTTAAGATCCTTCATAGATCGTTGTTGGAAGACTCGAATCTGGTGAAGCCTTGGCTCCCGCATTTGTCGATTTGAAGAAGGTGTGACAATCTACTTTAGATCATTGTGGAGCTTTGGCGTTTTTGTTCAATGTCTATTGGAGGCATTGTTGTTGGCGGTCTTTCATGGATTATTAGCTATTTTCAGAGTCGTGGTTTATTGAGATTCATTATCATAGTTGGGATCTATGATCGTGTCTGATTAGATCCAAGGGTGTCTCCGGTTTATGAGACTTGATTGTTTCTTCTTCTTGTGGATTTTCATTTCGTAATTTGTTCCATATTCGAAGACGTCAGCTATTAGTAGTTTGGGTGACGATTCAGACTCCGAGTGTTTGCTTTTGTGGAAGCGGTAAGACCGTTGGTGTTCATTGAAGATTGGAAGAGATTGTTGTGGAGAAACGTGAAGGTGGTGATTTTGTGAATCTCATGTGTTTGGATCCATCCCTTAATCTACTGTTGGATTTGGAGGGGATAGATCATTTGCGGAGTTAGCGGGGACTGTTGGAGTTGTGCATTTATGATGCACCCGCCTTTTTTGGCAGTTTTTTGGCAGCTGTGAAGATGGTGCATCATCTTGTGTTTGCTGGTTGGAATTGCAGTTGGAGGAATCTGGAGTTTGCTCGACACTTCAGAACTTTTTTGGCTCTTGGTATTTTGTAAGTTCATTTGAAGTTTGTTCCGATACTTCCAAACTGGTTAGAGCCCAACTGAGTCCACAGTCCAGTTTTGTTTGGTGGAGAACTTGCCTCAGTTCTCAGAGAATTTGTTTGGCTCTCTTGATTAATTCGAGCTTGAAGAGAGCAATATTGTGTTCGATGGTTGATCGTACATGATGTTTTTGGTACCACTTTTGAAGTTGCTTTGACGGAGAATTTGAAGCCTCTCTTGTTTAGTCTCTTCAACATTGGTTCAAGCGGGTTGCTCACCATGTTTTGTCTGGAGTTGTCAAGGACAACTTGTTTGGCGCCTATGGAAATTGGAACTTGGCACTATGATGGAGCTTGAGTTGCAGAAAATCGAAGAGCTAGCTCGATTGGTTCTGCATGTTCTTTACATTAGCGCAATGTGATTTTGAGCAATGGAATCTGCTGTGTTTTTGGAAAAGCGCTTGTGTTTTGTACAGCAGATGGTATTCAGTTTTGACTGAATGGTTGGATACCTGGGTTATGGTATCGGTTTTTGATTCTGTGGCGGCAAACGCACCTCTTAATGAAACAAAATAGTTGCGGATCTCTTAAGCGAGCTCGAGCGCAAGAGGAGAGATGGAGCCACGATGAGCACTCAAGAAGTATGGGTGCAGGTACTATGCTAGGTGTTGCATAGTTGGTGACTTGTACAGATCTGTTGAAGTTGCTTTGGAAGAAAGAGCTACTGTTAACCATCATCTGGTAGTACAAGTGATAGATACGTAGGTAACGCGTATCGCTGAACTGGAGATCAGGGATTACAAAAGGCATGAACAACAAGTGTGTGGAAACGCTGGGAAGTTGTTCACGAGTGCAAAGGGCAAATGCTGACAAGTTCAAGATAGTTTAGAGGAAATTCCGAGCAAAGAAAACCAGGGAAGTTGACCAGACAAATGAAGAGTTTTCTGTTGCTCCAGTTTTGGCCGTGCAAAGAGATACATGGCAGGATAGTGGCATTTCAGGGAAAGCTGTAGTGTCACAGAGCACACAAAGGAGTGCAAGGCATCCCAATCAGGGGGTGTCGGATATCTTGGTTACGCAAGTTCCAGAACAGCAGGTGAAGACATCCGAGACAGGAAGCGTGGAAGAGATCTATGGGAGATAGGAGCAGAGGCTCTCTCCAAATCAGAGAGTGGTGTGAGTTGAGTTGAGAATGTAGGATTCCCTCCTCCTCTTGTATCTCTGGTGTATTATCTCTAGCTTCAAGGGATGTAGCGTCTCAGTGAGGAGATGAAGATTCTGTTGGTTTTTGGGCGTGACAAGATTAGCAGTAGTGTGTGCAGTGGATCACCTCACATGGGTTGAGGAGGTGATTTGTTAGATATAACCATCACCCCATGTGATGAGTGATGAATAGAGGAACCATTTGAAGAACCCACTAAGAGAAAGTGGGGGTGGCACCTCACCATTAAGATGGGCGGGGCTGGCTCACCAACTCCAACCCACTAGAGAGTGGAAGGAGGTAGGTGGAAACCAATGAGGTTCTCCCTCATTTGTGTATAAATGGAGGGGGTGTTGGATAGACAAGAGTGTGAGTAAACCAACCAAGAGAGTGAGAGAGGTGAGGTAGAGAAACCGTCTCTCTCTGTGTGAGAGAGGGAGACGGGTGAATGGGTGAGTGAGGATAGTGTGAGGTTCTCCTCTATTGTAATCTTTCTGTAATCTCTCCATTGTTATAGTGATAAACGGTTACTCTCCCGTGGACGTAGGCATTATTGCTGAACCACGTTAAATATGATGTCTCCTTCTGTGTGGGTGTATTTTTCTGCTTTGTATGATTTCTATAAGGTCTTGGGTGGGATCTCCGATCCCCAACATTTAGGTCAATCAAGCCATCTACACAATATTTGGAGGTCTCATTGTGTTTTCTATTTGTTGATAATTTATATTGCGACTGCTGCTGCTATTGTTGCTGATATGAAAATGTTACGGCCGCTAGGTTGATGAGGAAATTATCTCTTCATAGCATATCTATGCTTACACTGTGCTTCCCATCAAGGAGGGTGAGGAAAATGTATTCTGTTTGTTGTAAAAGTGTTAAAATTTAGGTGCTTTTCAACAACAAACTCAAAATGTTTCACATGGAGATGGCACATTGCAGATGCACTCCATCATAAGATGAGTTGTTATCTCTGGTTCATAAACAAAAAAGTAAACCAAAAGAATTATACCGAGACTCTCTTTTTTCTTGATTTCTTTTCTTTTAGCATCAACAATATAGTAATTATAGTGGTGCAGGGTAAGCAATATATTGGTGGTTATCTGTTCAAACAAAATCGAAAATAGCGTTCATGTTATCAAAATTAATTTCTGTATAACATGAAATGGTTTGCGGACTTGAATTTTGGTCAGACAATGCTCTGTCCTGAATCAAGGGTTTTTATTTTGGATGATTAATTTCATTCTATCCAATGCAATGCACTTTAAAAGTCTATGATTCCTTTTTCCTTTTTCTTTTTTTGACTTTGATGTTTTCCTTTGCTTAGGGCTGTGATTACCAATCATTGGCTGACTTCAGGCTGGGAATTGTCATCTTGTTTCCAGTATTAGTTACTTTTCGGTTAAAGTATTATTATTATTATTATTTTTGTAAATAATGTTAACACACAGCTAGCAGCTGATAATGGAGTATATTTTCTTATTTTGTTTAACCCCCTCTTTCTAACTTCTGATTGTGGATGTGCTCTTTCTATTTCCCTCTTTTTTTTTTTTTTTGGTGTATTGTAGATGGATGATTGTTGGTTTGTTGGATGCTGCACTTGATGGTAGTTTCATGGATATCAGTGACATTGACATTGTAAGGCTCTGCTTGAGGCATTATTCGCTTGATTGAATCTGAAAACCAAAGTTTAAGCAGTACTCCAATAAACTGAAAGTAGGTAATCATTTCGGATCGGGCGAGAGGGGGTGCTCATAGCTGACCTTCCCCAATCGTACCCAAGCTCCCGAGCCGAGGCAACTTTGGTGATGACGGACACGTGGCCTTTGGCACCGAGTCAGGGTTTCCTAAATTCTCCCATTTTAAAATATTTAGGTGACGACTCTATATCTGGCAAAGCAGTCCATGTTTGGCACTTCTTTCAAAAAAATCTGTTTTCTCAAAACGATTTACCATATTTGAACTCTTTGGTTCAGATTAAGAACCGTGACACAAATCGAGTCCGAACTGTAGTGGAGGCCCGTGGGCGCGTCTACACCATATTACTTGAAAAATGTTGAATACGGTCGGTGGTGGATTCTGCAATGCTAATGTATCTATTTTTGGCTGTGTCATCTTCCTTTGGAGGATATGGTGGTTATTCTTTGGAGTTACCGAGAAATTTGTACACTCCTGTATTGCCTCTTCCCTACCAGGCCTGCTTCACTGTGAGAAATTGGTTTAGGGACCAACCCCAGAAGTTCACCCTAAAGGGTCAATTAATCCACTTGGTCCATTCCAAAATTGAGCACATTTGAATCAGACATCAGTGAAACAACAAAGAGCTATAGAGAATGGTTCTATTGGTTTACCTAATCTTTGCAGCTGATTTTTACCGTGATTGTTTACCAACACCATTTTCCCTCTATGCTTTGCAGCTGAGTTTTATGAGCTGTTTACCAACAACATTTTTATAGCGGTTTACACACACCATTTTAACAAACCCAATGGAACCATAAATTATCCAATATTCACGTAACACCCCGTGATTATATGCCCAAGCAATGGTGTTTTCTGATTTTTCTAAATTGTTTCTTCTTTTTTTTTTCCCTTTTTTTTTTTTTTTTTTTTTTTTTGTGGCTATTGGCTTTACGCATGCCAACACGAGATAATTAGTCCAAATTCCTATGAATAACATCATTATAGAATCTGCTCTTGACTAAAACCACAAAAAAACAAAACCTGATCATCCTACAACAACGAGAAACACTTGACCAATCGGAGAACAACTCAACCAGCTACAAATTCTGAATTTCATTGAAACCGCACCTCACAACTCCTAATGCTGCTATGTTCGGATCTTGAATTTAACCATGGGAAACAAAAGAAATAGATTAAGCTTATTTCACTTATTGTTCTTCATGTCTTTTCCTCTCTTTTTTTTCCCTTTACAAATCAATAATCCAAGCATGGCCTAAATGCAGCCAAAAAAAATAAATAATAACCACAAACCATTATTTGCAAACAGTTAAGCCAGAACCATTAGCATATATTATGATAAGAATCCTACCACAAACTAGATTCACCTTATAGACAGTATATGACAATACGGTGGAATACCCAATCCTGTTTTTTACATACCAACTATAAAAACTGACATCAGATCCTACCACATGTTAAGGTTGTCACGGCGACTATGAATCTAGTGAGATTTGTATACCAAACCCATCTATTAGAAGGGAAGGAAAAAACAAAAAACAAAAAAAGACACAACAATGTACCTAAGACAGCAAAACAAATCATCAGGATTCCAAACTTCATAAAAATACTTAGATAACTGAAGATGCTGACTTCCAAGAGATTCAAATCATTCTTCAACTACACTGACCAATTCATACTCGACTAGAGACAGGTTGTTATCCTCTTTAACCACAAATTGTGCTGGCTCAGTGACCTCAATACGGCCCCATTTATCAACAGCTAGCCTCATAGACCCTTTAAACATGTCAATCTTTGCATTGCGAAGAATCACAGTGGCACCATCTTTCATCAGGTCAACTGCAAAGAAGATATATAGCCATTGTCACCAGGGTCAGCCAAAAACAAGAAAGAGGAAGAAGGTGCCATCATCACCATGAAGTGAAATAGTAAAAAAGCAAACTGATTCCCTTGGAAATTTTACCAATTTTTCTTGACTATGAAAATCAACAAACAAGAGAAAGGCCCAAAAACTAATACACAAATCCTAAGGTTGCATCCCCAAAAAAATAAAATATTATATTGGAATCATAAATCTTATGCAACCAACAAAACATGAATCATTGGATAATTCCGGTGGAGAGGTCTTATTGCACCCTATATCATAAATACAAAGAAGGAAAACCAAATATTTGTTTGGAAATTTGCTCTTTAGATGTCATGTCAAATGGTTCACAAAACTCACAACAATGTAAAAAAGTGCACACAATCAAAATTTGCTACTTAGAATAGCATACCCCAGGGAAGGGTTTAGAAAGTAAATAGTTTCAAGGTGTCTCGGATATAAGGAGTTATACATGACGGGACATACAAATTTTTTTAAATACAATTATCACGGATTGAATAAATGATAGGAAGTTCATTCACAAATGAAAAATAGATCAAAACATATCACAGGGTTGAACAGCAAGAATCTCACGTCGCCACACTTGCATAGCCATGGATGGGATATTAGCACATTTGTGTTCCATCTTTGTATAAAGAAATATGCCAAAGTTTTCAATAGCAAATCAATTAAGAATTTAACAATTCAATTCTTTGAAAAGTACTACACATGAAATGTATATAGAAAGGTAGTAATAGTTCAGTTATACAAAGAATCTCATATTGCCACACTTACATAACCACGGCACATTAGCATATTTGTTTCCCATCTTTGTATAGAGTGGTCAATTTTTTCAATAGCCAATCAGTTTAGGATTTAACAGTTCAATTATTTGATGAATATCGGAAGTTAGTAAAAATCCGGTGGTCCAACTATTAGCGAATATCACTTTACTCCCCTCATCTATGAAATTGTACATTTTGACTCCCTCAACTACAAAAATATATCACTTTCAAGTTTCAACCTCTCCAGGCCACCTCGAAAAGGGGTATATTTGTAAGATTTTCATAATTGAGGGGTTTAAAATGTATTGGTTCATAGATGATGGGACAAATTTATATTCGCTAGTAGTTGAGGGGGTCTTGGTGTAATTAATCCATATACGATCTTCAAAATCTAGATAAATCTCCAGCAGAATGTGGAAAGAAAAGAACAATGTTTACAGTCTACTCTCAATTAGATCTTTTTAACAGATTTCATTTCCATCTCTTTGATTTCAATAACAAAAAGGACATTAAAATTCTATTCAATACTGCAAAAACAAGTGAGCAAAATCAAAGCAGACAAGACAAAATAGCAATGTAGAAAAAACTATTACTAAATCCACAGCCACAGTAAAAGTTTCCAAGTTCATCAGAACCCTACATTGTCTTACAAAATGCACAGAACCTTCAAAACAAAACACACATAATAATTATTCAAAATTCCATTTTTTCTGATAATTTCAAATTGCAGCAGTGAAATCAATCAACCTTCGCACTCTATTTAAGTCCAATTAAGAACACACACACACACACACATATAAATATACATATATATTCCCAACTCAAATCCCAAATTCATTAGAGGGAGAGAGAGAGAGAGAGAGAGGACCTTGGTCGTTACGGGCGGTGAAGAGAATGGTGCCAGTTTCATCACCAATGAGGCACTCGGCGATGCGAGTCTGAGCAGTGGCGGCGCCGCCGCGGGTGAGATGAGGGTTACGACCTTTCTTCTGCAAGACGGTGTTGGAAGAGAGGACCTTGACGATGAGAGTGTGGCCGTTTGTACCTGGCTTTAGCTGATCCACCTTCACAAACACCGGCTTCCTCATCCCTGGCTTCGAAACTGAACCTCCTCCACCATCGCCGCCGCCTTGTTGATGTGGTGCCGTCGTCGACGCCATGGGTTTGGAAGAGAGAGAGAGAGAGAGAGAATTTTGTGCTTGGTTTTGGTTTTGGTTTTGGTTTTGGTTTTGGTTTTGGAGGTACTGAAACGCAAACCTAACCCTAACCCAGAATTTTTGGGTTGCAGGGAAAAATGGAACGGGAGGTGAGCTTGCAAGCAGGAGTTTCGTGTATGACACGACGACGTTTCGTAAAACATAGTATTTAATATTTATTTATTTTTATTTTTTTGTAAAATATAGGACAGTATTTATATAGAATCAATTTTTTTGTAAAACATAGGACAGTATTTATACAGAATCATGTTTTTGGAACATAACTTTAAGAATAAGTTCAAAGTTGTTCACTTTGAGAATATGTTTTTAAAACCCCTTAAAAAGGGGTTGCCATATGTACTCTCACGTCTCCTAAAATTTTTGACAAATACAAATATTTTTATATAATTTTACCCCTTTTAAAAGGGATGTCATATGTACTCGCACATTTGGTGAAATTTTTGACAAATACCAACATCTTTTATATGATTTTTAGTCGATGCATATTTAAAAAAAAAAAAAAAAAACAAATTATTTTTACATGACTAAAAAAATTTAAAAAGAAATATAGGAGTAAAAAAAATATAATCATCTAATAATAAATTAAAATTAGTTAATAGGGAATGAAAGATTAAAAACTAATTTGAGAATAATAAACAATTCAAATAATTTCTCATTTCTTACGCATAAAAATAAAATTAATCTTTACTTGAATGGAGAAATTATTTTAGAATACTAAAATACTCAATTAATTTGTTGTATGATACTTAAAATATATTTCTCCATCTTTATTTTTCTCATTTAAACTATTTTTATTAAATTAAATCTGAAAATTAATTTCTACACCTTCATTGATGTTTAAATTTTTAATTTATTTTTTAATTTCTCACCTTTATTTTGTTCTATTATTATTTATAGCGAAATATTATTATTTAAATTATCTAATTTTACTTCTTCCATATATCTAATGCTCATATAATTTTATTAGCAAGAATGAAAAATCAGACTCTAATTCTAATTTAAACACACAACAAAATTTTAAAAAAAATCTAAAGAAAAAATATAAATGTAATTTAATTTATCCTATTAAATATATTTGAAATTATTATTTATTTTTCATAATTGTTTTAAAATATAAATGTAATTTCTTGACTCTATTTTTTCCACAACAAGTTTTTGAACTTTTATAAACAAAAAATAAATTAAAAATTCAACCATCAATGAAGGTGAGAAATAAATTTTAAGATTTAATTTAATAAAAATAGTTTAAATGAGATAAATAAAGATAGAGAAATAGATTTTAAGTATCATACATAACAAATTAATTGAGTATTTTATTATTCTCAAATAATTTATCTATTCAAGTAAAGAGTAATTTTAATTTTAGGTGTAAGAAATGAGAAATTGTTTGAATTGTTTATTATTCTCAAATGATTTCTTGATCTTTCATTCCCTATTGACTAATTTTAATTTAGTGTGAGGCAATTAATTTTTTTTTACTTATATTTTTATTTTTAATTTTTTTAATCATGTAAGAAATATTAACTCGCATTTTTTTAAATATGTATTGACTAAAAATTTAATACTCAAAGATAAAAATTAAAATTTGAGAATAATATATGATTGAGAAAAGATAAAATAATATTTTTTTCATATAAATAAATAAGTAATGCAAAATTCCGGAAAAAAAAATCTATTTATCTTAACAAAATAATAATAATAATAATAATAATAAATGCATTACTTAAAATGATAAATTTTAAGTTGTTTATGCGGTGTGAAATAAGTCTTATATTAAATTATCAAACATAATAGAGACCCTCACTCCCCCCACCCCCACTACCCCCACACACGTGGGGGTTAGTGATTGGAGAAAAAAAAAATCCTGGCCAATCACAGCCCACTGGGGGTCCTGGGGGTCACTCCTAGTCAAGGTCCGGAGCATTTTTCTTAAATTATTATGATGTTATCTAATATTAATTTTAGAGAGATTATTGATTTTTAATTATTTTATCAATACAAATTAAGTTTTTTTTTTTTTTTGATGTAGTAGGTGTTTGGCATGTACTAAAAAAGTATATTTTTTTTTTGTATACATACACTTATTTGGGTCACATCAATCAATATCTATCAACATCTCATTTCTACTTTTCTACCCACTTTCTCTACTTTTCTACACATTTTTTTTTATAAAAAATAAAAAAAAATGCACTTATTTAGAACATCCCAAACCATCCATTTAACAATTTAGAGATTCTATTTAATATTGCATGAAATTTAAAATTTTAATTAAATAATGGTAAAATATGTATGAGTTTTTGATAATATATACGCAAAACCTCAGGGGAGGTGAGTGAAATTTCTCATTTGAATAGATAAAGTAATTGATGGGCAATTTCGTTGTTTTTGGTATGACATCAACATGACACCAACAAATTCTATTAAAAAGCCTAACAGTGGAGAATCTTGATAATAATTTCAAAAGTAAGGAATGTTAGCGTAATTATTGAAACTATAAGGGAGGTTTCTATAATTATCAGAAATCTCAAGACAGGTAAATGTAATTCATCCTAACTTTAAGAATAAGTTCAAAGTTGTTCAACTTTGAGAATAGGCTTTTAAAGAGAAATTCTAATATATACTCTTTTAAAAAAGGTGTATCATATATATCCTTAGGTTTGTCAAATTTTTTTTTCATTATGATCAATTTTCTTCTTAAATTATGACATTATTTTAGTTATAACTCATTAGTTCTTTAGTTATGCCTCATGTTGTATTTAGTTATAATATTTTTTTTCTTTTTTTTTTTAGTTATGACTAAAAAATTTGATTATGCCATTTTTCTTTTTAGTTATAAAGTACATAAAATGCATATCTTTTGAAGGATGTGCACCATAGTGTTTCCCTCTTTTTAATGGAGAAAGACTATGGTATGCACCATTCAAAGGGTGTGTATTATATACATTTTATAACTAAAAAAGAAAATAATATATAATTACATACTTTTTTAGTCATAACTATAAAAAAAAATTAAAAAAAATAAAAAAAGACCAAATAAACATAAGTCATAATTAAAGATTTTATGAGTTATAATTAAAGGAAAAAAATTGATCATAATTTAAAAAAAAAAATAGAATAATTTAAGGATGCATATAGTAAAGGGGTGCATATGGTAAAATTTTCCATTTAAATGACATGAGTTTTGGTAATTGGAAAAAAATAAATAAATGAAGCTCTCACAAACCACTCAAGTATGATTTAGCAAAGTGTCTGGGCAACCAATTCCAATTGAGTGCAAAATTGCTTGAACTATACTTCATATAGATTAGTGATGATTGCAGGTCTCTCCTATATGGGTCCTATTAGATTAAGCGCAACTAGAAAGAGAAACAAATGTGCAGCTATTTTGACAAATGATTGCTTCATAGAGACCATGGTCTCTTTATTTTATCATTTGTACATTTTTGTATTTCGCAACAACTTTTTGACGATGGAAGGGGTTGTTTGTATCCATGTTCTGTAACTTCTCTATATATTCCTTCTTTAAAAACCATTATATATATGGATTAGTTAATACAGGGATGATGGAGAAAAAATAAAATTATTTCATGCTCCAACTAGTCCAAAGGTAAATTAAAAGCACATGATTTGATCTATACCCGACCCATTACCACCCTTATGTTTATACATAGGGATGGAGAAGGGATTGTATGGGTCATTTCTCTTTGTTTGATTGTAAATATATATATTGGGTAAATTACATTAATGGTCCATATAGTTTGGGGCTTGTATTATTTTGGTCTCTAACTTTTCAATTGAGACAGATTTGATCCTGAATTTTGAATCTTGTTCCAAATAAGGACAATTGTAGATACTATTGAATTTTTTAAGGGCAAAATCGTCAATTTGATAAAATATAAATTAATTTGACAAAAATAAATGTCAAAAAATTATTTTTGAATTTTTAAAAATTATTTCTAGCTACTAAAGATAAAATTATATAAAATTGATAAATCTTTTAGACATTTATTTTTTTTTACCAAATTAATTTTTATTATGTATTTGGATGATAATCATGTAAAATTAATTTTTAAAAATTTATCATGTAATTTTTATTAATTTTTATCAATTTTACATAATTTTATTTTTGGTGGGTAGAAATAATTTTTAAAATATTTTAAAATATTTTTTTGACATTTATTTTTGTCAAATTAGTTTATATTTTATCAAATTGATGATTTTTCCCTTGAAATTAAGCAATGGTATATTCAATTGTCCTTATTTGGAACAAAATTCAAAATTCAGGATCAAATGTGTCATAATTGAAAAGTCAGGAACTAAAGTAACATAAGTTTCAAACTATAGAAACTATTAGCGTAATTTTTTAATATATATATATATATATAAGGATTTGGTTACTAGAAGGACGTGAGTTCAAGTCTCTAGGGAAAGATTCCTGCTCATTATTTTGAGATTCAAGTCTCTAAGGCGAGATTCATGCTCATTAATCTTTAGTTATTGGCTTCTTGCCATTATGCTTTTGACTCCAAAATAGAGCAATTCATCAAGCAAAAAGAAGAAGATGATGAATTTAGTGACAGAGAAAGAAATTGAGTAACCAACATGAAGAAAATTATGGGTTTTGTTTATGGTAGTTGTAGAGGGAGTTTGCTGGTAATGGGGGTTGTCGTACGAAAAAAGTATAGAAAGGTAAGTGTTTATCGATCGTGCCGAAGAGAGAAGCGTAGGGTTCAGCGGTGGTGAGACCTTCTGTGATGAGAATTTTTCTCCATTCAATAAGATCGTGTCAAATACTTAAAATAGTAAAGTATAATTCATTTACAATTTATGGGGATGTATTGGGAGAACAATCATGCTACAGACCCTCAGTTGGGGGTGATTTTCACCACTCCCACATACACGTGAGGGTCCAAAAGAGGATGAAAGAAAAAAAAAATTTAGGCCAATCAGCACCTACTAGAGGTGCTGGAGTCTCCTCCATTTTCCTTGAAAGACACTATATACAATAATTTCATATTTTCTTTTTTTGTTATTGATGATTAACTTCAAGTATCAGAGTCT